TGGGTTGAGGTCCAAAAACCTGAGTTTGGAAACCAAATCTACTACCACCATCTGATCTTAGTAAGCCTGTCTTTCTAGATGCTGAAAAAAACAAACCAAACCCATTGCTGTCTGGTTGATTCGGAGTGGAACTGCCCCATAGGGTTTCCAAGGCTGTAAATCTTTATGGAAGCAGACTGCCACATCTTTCTCCCAAGGAGTGGCTGGTGTGTTCCAACAACTGAGCTTTCAGTTAGCAGCCAAGTGCTTTAACCACTGCACTACCAGGGCTTCTTTCTAGATCCTAGTTTCCACATATTCAAAATGAGGGATTGGAGTTAACTAGTTGTTTAAGCCTGTCTGTGAATCATAAAAGTTAAAAAATATATATATACATTAAGAGAAGGAAAAGACAAGCCACAGACTGGGAGAAAATATTTGCAAAACACATAATCTGATGAAGACTTGTATCCAAAATATACAAAGAATTCTTAAGCCTCAACAATAAGAAAACAAGCAACCTAGCTAAAAAGTGAGTAAAAGATCTGAACATCCACCTGACCTCATTCGGCAAATAAGCGTATGAAAATATACTCAACATCGTATGTTACTAGGGAATTGCAGATTAAAACAACAATGAGATACTACTGCATTCCTATTTGAATGACTAAAATCCAAAACACTGACAACACCAAATGTTGATAAGGATGTAGAGAAACAGGAAGTCTCATTCATTGCTGGTGAGAATGCAAAATGGTATAGCCAACTAAACGAATGATTTATAAGAATCAGTGCAAAGCTGCTTCCTATGAGGCAGAGGTTCAGGATATTCCAAATGTCCAACTTTTCCAAGCTGCTGTACCAGCCTATCATCTCTAACATTAACTACTCCCCCTCCCATCAGTACTGTCCCTCCCGTCTTTGGGTTCCCTAATTTGCTGCCAAGTCTCACAGAACTCGCGAACCATATAAAAGAAATGGCTCACGCGGTTGTGGAGGCTGGCAAGTCCCAAATTCAGGGGTCAGGTGTAGGTTTCCCCTGACCCACCTGGCTGCAGGAGCCAACAGACCCAAAATGGCAGTTCAGACCACAGGCTGCTGGCTCACAAGGCTGCAGAAGCTGGCGAATCAGGTCACACGATAGGCCACTGGCCCAAGGGGCTGTGGAGGCCAGTGAATCCCAGAATTGGCAAGTCAGACAGCAGGCCTCTGGGGAAGTCAGTTGATCACAAACTAGACAAGGGATCCAGACGCAGAAAGCGAGAGCCTCACCAGGATGCACACATATGTCTTAGATGCAGGCCACACACCAGGGAAGGGCATAGCTTTAGTAAGGGTGGGGCTTGAGTCACGCCCTCCTGCAAGGCTGTGACCTAAGACACACCTTACACCAATCCTGCCTCATCAACATGTAGAGGTCAGGATCCACAACACATAAATTGGAGGACAACCACACAATACAGGGAATCATGACCCAGCCAAGTTGACACCTAACCCCAACCGTGAGAGGTTCCATATACCTTATTTGCATAGTCCTGCTCAATCATTGGAAACCCTGGTGGTGTAGTGGTTAAGAGCTATGGCTGCTAACCAAAAGGTTGGCAGTTAGAATCTACCAAGTGCTCCTTGGAAACCCTATGAGGCAGTCCTACTCTGCCCTCAATTATGTGTGAGTCACAAAGACCATGGGTAGAAGGGCCATATGAAGTAATTCATTGCACCACAGCCGCTTTGGAAGATAGTTTGACAGTTTCTTACAAAGCTAAGCATAGTCTTACCATATGATCCAGCAGTCATGCTCCTAAGGATTTACCCAAACAAATTGAAAATTTCCACACAAAAACCTGCACATGAATGTTTATAGCAGCTTTATTTGTAATTGCCAAAAACTGGAAGCGGCCAAGATGTCCTTTGATAAGTGAATGGATAAACAAACTACAGTACCTCCACATGATGGAATTCAGCAATTAAAAAAAAAGAACTGTCAAGCCACAAAAAGACACGGAGGGACCTTAAATGCATGTTGCGAAGCGAAAGAAGCCGGTGTGCTACATACTATATGATTCTAACAATATGATATTCTGGAAAAGGCAGAACTTACATAGAGACTGTAAAAAGATCATTGGCTTCCAGGGGTTCAGATGGGGAGAGAGGGAGAGATGACTAGGTGGAGCATGGGATTTTTAGGGCAGTGAAACTATTCTGTATGATACTGTAATGGTGGATGCCTGACATTATGTATTTGTCAAAACCCATGGAACTGTAAACTTAGTTGCCATCAAGTTGATTCTGACACATAGCAACCCTACGTGTGTACAGTAGAACTGCTCCGTAGGGGTTTCAAGGCTGTGATCTTTCAGAAGCAGATCGCCAGGGCTCTCTTCTGAGATGTGTCTAGGTGGGGTTGAACAACCAACCTTTTGGCTATTAGTCGAGCATTTAACTGTTTGCACCACCCAGGGACTCCAATGTAAATGTGGACTTTAGTTAATTATAATATATCAGTATTGGTTCATTTATAACGAATGTACCACACTAATGCAAGGTGTTAATAATAGGAGAAACTGGGCAGATGGGGCAGTGGGAGGAGGGCAGTAGGGGAGATGAGGAGTTATATGAGAACTCTGTACTTTCTGCTCAGTTTTTCTGTAAAATTAAAACTGCCCTAAGACGTAAAGAAGGAGCTCTGGTGGTGCAGTGGTTAAGCACTTGGCTGCTTAACCCACCAGCTGCTCCATGGGAAAAAGATGTGGCAGTCTGCTTTTGTAAAGATTTACAGCCTTGGAAACCCTGTGGGGCAGTTCTACTCTGTCCTATAGGGTTGCTATGAGTCAGAATCAACTCAATGGCAATGGGTTTGTTTTTTAAGACATAATCTATTAAAAATAAAAAAGAGGAGGTAAAGAGGATTATATTATGCCAGCCGTGTGCTAGGCACTGTGCTAGATGCTTTTACATGTATTCTTATTTAGACATACAGTAGCCTATGAAGTAGTTTTTAGAAGTTAACAGACAAGGAAACTGAGGTCTAGAGGAATATACAGTTCTCATTTGCAATAAAGAGAAGACATTTAAAGTGAAAAAAAAAAACATCCACCCAAATGGAAACAAAATTTCATAGTATATAGTAAACAACAGGTTCGATCAGCTGTATATAACTTGCCTGAAGTTATGTGGTGGTACAGTGGAAATCAAAACCAAAGCCTAAAGTCATTACAAAGTCCTACGTCCTTGTCTATGATACCATAATAGTAATTTTTACCAATATTTACTAAATGAGTTCAATTATAAGAGTTAAAATGGGTTTCCTGATTAATTTTGCAGAGTTAGAGTGAGTCTACTGTTTAATTTGAGATTTTAGACATATAGTTGTTCATAGATATATTTGAAAGCAGTTTTTAAATATTGTCTTTATTCAGTATTGAGTACTTGAGGTGTATTTTAATACATTAAATTAATTAATTGTATGTATTGTATATCTAATGCCAATTACTGTTGTTATCCCAGATTCTGCTGTCTGCATCTATGCACCTGAATAGTTGGACAGAAAATTGAAATCCTTTAACTAATTCTGAATATGAAGCACAGTGAAATAGACAGTTAGGCTATAAGAAGTAAGGCTTCTCTATGTGTGTCATCCACTTGGTCCTGTGTTCGCCTAAGTGATACGTTTACATGGAGAATTTAGTACATATCCTTTCTTTTCATAGGCGCAGAGTCCAGTGGTGACATGGATGTTCTTCTGACCCATCCAAGCTTTACTTCTGAGTCAACCAAGCAGGTGCCTCAGAATCTATTATCAAATGTGATCTGTCTCACACAGCAGTGACTATCATTTTATAAATGACAGTTGGATATTTTCAAATAAGTTTTTGCTTTAATCCTTCTGAAAAGTCAGTTGAAGTGTTTTGTACTGATTGAATTCTGCAAGAGGTAAACTAAGTTATTGCGAGGAATACACGTTTATCCCCAAGGAATTGAAAGAAGGACCGTCTAACATTTGAAAGAGATGAATTTTAGTAAAGTATTTCCAGAATTGTTTACTGTCTAGCACAGATATTTTAGAAATACTCAGTATAATAATATCCAGATTTTCATTAAAAGAATATTTTTCTATTAAAAAAATAGGGTATTGTGAAACTTTACCTCTATTAGAAAGCCCGCAAAGTCAAACTCTTTTTGATTTTGGGATATATGCCTTCACGTATCTACCAGCTAACTCTTTGACTTAATGAAACAGATAAATACAAATGATGTTTGTTTTGAGATATGCTGTTAGTGAGGAAATGTGGTTTCTAAAGATATATTTCATTTGATAAGACGAATTTTCTGTAAGAGGAAAAAGTACTTACTCAGAACATAGGGAAGGTAGGCATTCATCAAAGATAATCAGAAGAGTCATGTTAAAAATGTTTTCTTGCCTTAACAGACTAATTGCTCTTTTTCTTATTCCCTAATTATGATTCTGCAGCCAAAACTGTTACATCGAGTTGTGGAGCAGTTAGAAAAGGTCCATTTTATTACAGACACTTTGTCAAAGGGTGAAACAAAGTTCATGGTAAGTACTTGTTTAACACATTTGGAAAAAAAAACCTTAGAGACAGTTCAGTAACCATTCTGAGTGTGTGACCTCACTGTAGTTTAGTATTACAGTCAGCAAATAGGATGTCTGTGAGACCTGAGAGAAAAATAGTTAGCAGGATACCTGATTCTCATAACTAATCTCAGAATATTTTAATAAGGTATTTTGTTTTAAATTCCCCATTTATAAATGATCTTTGCCATCAGAATAATTAGGCATAATCTGCTATTTTAAAATATCTATAATGACTTGCCACACAGTAAGTTTATCCTAAAATAGCAAATGTTCTCATATTCTCTGACTCAGAATTCTTCAGTAAGTGAGGTTAGAAGTATCTGAGTAGGATTAATCTGTTACAACACCAAAGAAAAGGAATTAGGGTATGAATGCAGAGGGGAAGAAACATATCACATGGAATGATACAGAGGGGAATCAGTAGATGGGGACACGCGTAGAGATTTTCACAGTGAAACCCATCCTGATGAATTGTCAAAATCCTGTAGTCTTCCTAGGTAGTTAAGGTTTAAAGATTCAAGGTGACCTTTCTCCCTCCCTGGCCATCTTGGTGGCTTCTCTTGGTTGGGGGCCATCCAGCACCTAAGGCAGGAGGACGGTGGCCACGAAGAAGACAAAAAAGTCGCTGAAGTCGATCAACTCCAGGCTTCAGCTTGTTATGAAAAGTGGAAAATATGTGGTGGGGTACAAGCAGACTCTGAAGATGATCAGGCAAGGCAAAGCAAAGCTGGTCATCCTCGTCGACAACTGCCCAGCCTTGAGGAAATCTGAGATGGAGTACTACGCCATGTTGGCCGAAACTGGCGTCCATCATTACAGTGGCAGTCATGTTGAATTGGGCACAGCGTGTGGAGAATGCTACAGAGTATGCACACTGGCTGTCGTTGATCCGGGTGATTCCAGTATCATTAGAAGCATGCCAGAGCAGACTGGGGAAAACGAAATCATGTAATTTTTTTCTGTAATAAAACTAGTGACAGCTTGTTAAAAAAAATCAAGGCAAATGACCAATGGATGAAAAACAGGTTAGTAAGTGGATCTCTATGAAAACCAACAGGAAGGCAAATAGAAATCCAGGATCACAACTTTTACGTCTTTCTTTGGCTTATCTTTATTCTGCTGCTCACTTAAATGCATCATTTGCATCTCCTTTTCTCTGTGCCCCCTTTTCCCAAGTTATATGACTGAAAGGAAAAATGGCGTGCGTTGAAAGAGTGAACATGTGAAAACCAGTGAGAGTCTCAAAGCACAGATTCTTTGCAGTAGTTTTAGCCAAAAGTAGAAGGCAGATGCTTGAGAAAGATAATAAAAATACTAGCTCTTTAAATTCAGCAAGGTGATGTTAATGGGCTATGAGTGTACTGCCTAAGTGGGTCACACCTGTTTAATGTCTACAAAAAGAACGTTGGGAAGGATAAAAATAAGAGTTCTAGTCGTGTTCAGGACTTACACCTCTGATCTGTTCCCCTGAGTCTGTCAGGTTTCGAGCTCCTTTTCTATGCTCAGAAGTATAACAAATATAAGATAGTATTAAAAATGGGGTTTTTACATGCCCCATGAACATCCTTTTAAAATTTAGATTGATTTTAATTCACTCAAATTGAATGTGTGCATAAATCTTATATTTAAAAAAAAATTCAGTCGGATAAAATCCTAAAAATATTATGTTCTGGTCAGGTTGGATTTTTTTTATAGTAGGAAAATGTCTTGATTCCCTGTACCCCTGGACATATTCTAGGGATCCCTTCCGGCCTAAATCTCTCCTCAAATAGTCATCTCTGTGAAAGGCACTAGAACTTTCTGCTGGGGAAGTACACCAGCTGTTTTCAGTTGGTAACCAGGGAAGTGTTTATACGATACAATAGCAGAAAGTTATTTTTACAGCCTTAGCAGTGTTCCACTGTGCTCAAAGAGAGATCCACAGGAAAAACCAACAGAGGCTGTAGTAAGCCAGCTAGCAAGAATACAGGTAATCCAGCTAGCAAAATTACAAGCTGGTGGGCTGGGTGTAACCTGAGAAAAAAAAAAGGTAGGTAGCCAAGTATATGTGAACATAAGGAGCTGACTAGTGATGGAATTGGGTTATCCTAGTAGCTGCTCAATCAAAGAAAGAGACTTTTCCCTAGGAAGTACAAAAACAAAAACCAAACCTGTTGCCGTTCAGTCGATTCCAACTCATGGTGGCCCCGTATGTTACAGAGTAAAACTGCTCCATAGGGTTTTCTCGGCCATAATCTTTATAAAAGCATATTGCTAGGCCTTTCTTCTGCAGTACTGCTGAGTGGGTTTTAATAGCCAACCTAAAGGTTAGCAGTCAAGCACAAACTAGTGACCCTGTGCCACTTGGGGACCTTTTAGGAAGTGCAAGGGCATCCAGATCTCAGTGATGGCTACAAATTAGGCCAGTTCAGACCTCATTTGTACACGTGGTATTTGAAAGGCTCAGATCACTCACCCATCCAAGGATAAAACTGGGGTTGCAGGAAACTTTGCTCTACCTTCCCTTTCTCTTCTGTCAGTCATATACCTAGCAACACATAAACAGGTATTGCCAGAAAGGGATGGTGAGACTACATCTCACATACTTTTGACATGTTATCAGGAGGGCCCACTCCCTGGAGAAGGACATTATGCCTGGTAAAGTAGAGAGTCAGCGAAAAAGAGTAAGACCCTCAACAAGATGGATTCACACAGTGGCTGCAACAATGGGCTCAAGCATAACAACCATTGTGAGGATGGCGCAGGACCGGGCAGTGTTTTGTTCTGTTGTATGTGGGATAGCTATGAGTCAGAACTGACTCAACGGCATCTAACAACAGCAAAAAGAAAGGGAAAACCCCAGAACTATATCCAGAAGAAAACAGGTTAAAAAATAAGAAAAAGGAAAAAAAAGTTTTTCTAAGTGTAGAATACTCAGATGAAAGGGCGAGAAAGCAAGGCCTCTGAATGTGATGTAAGAATCAATCTTGGTGGATGGTTTGTGAATAAAGTTTGAATGTTATACATTCAGTTCATGTATTCCCTGCAGCTTAAAAAAATGCTGTGTTTAAGCTTGCTGGGTTTTTTTGTTTTTTTTTGTGGCACAAGAATTTATTTAAAAAAATTTTTTTAATTGTACTTTAGGTGAAGGTTTACAGAACAAATAGTTTCTCATTAAACAGTCAGTACACGTATTGTTTTATGACATTGGTTAACAACCTCACAACATGTCAACACTGTGCCTACTCGGCCTTGGAGGACCTTTTTTTTTTTGGTGAAAATATACATAGCCAAAGATACACCATTTCAAAAATTTCTACATGTACAATTCAGTGACGTCGATTACGTTCTTCCAGTTGTGCTGCTATTCTCACTTTACATGAAGGTTTATAGAACAAAATAGTTTCTCATTAAACAGTTAGTACACATATTGCCTTACGACAATGGTTAAGAACCCTACTACATGTCAACACTGTCCTTACTCAACCTTGGGTTCCCTATCACCAACTTTCCTGTCCCCTTCTGCCCTCTAGTCCTTGTCCCTGGACTGCTGTGCCTCATTAGTCCCGTTTTATTTTATGGGGCTGTCCAATCCCCAGCTGAACAGTGAACCTCAGGAGTGACTTCGCTGCTGAGCTAAAAGGGTATCCGGGGGCCATACTCTTGGGGTTTCTTCAGTCTCCGTCAGGCCAGTAAATCTGGTCTTTTTTGTGTTTTAGAATTTTGTTCTACATCCTTCTCCAGCTCTGTCAAGAACCCTCTGTTGTGATCCCGGTCAGAGCAGTCAGTGGTGGTAGCTGGGTACCATCTAGCTGTACTGGACTCAGGCTGGTGGAGGTCTTGGTGGCTGTGGTCCATTAGTCCTTTGGACTGATCTTTTCCTTGTATCCTGTTCTCTTCATTCTCCCTTGCTCCTGAAGGGGTGAGACCAGTGGAGTATCTTAGATGGCTGCTCACAAGCTTTTAAGACCCCAGACGCTACTCACCAAGGTAGAATGTAGAACATTGTAAGCTTGCTGTTTTGACCTGTATAATTAGTGGGTTTTTTGTTAGGATGAGAAACATGTCAGGTCAACTTTCAAATCAGTTTATTTTGAAGCCACCAAGAGGTCATTTGTATCTTGGTTGAAAGAAAGAGTGGATGTTGGTATGCTGCACTGTAGAAAAATAGATTTGGTCCAGAAGATAGAGGATCTTATTCTGACTCCATTGCTAAATTGTGTGACAGTAGGCATGTTGCTTTACTTCTAGAAGGCCTTAATTTTCATATCCATGAAATAGTAATAATATTTCTCTGCCTATTTCAAAGAGCTATTTTGTAGATCAAATTATTCCACAAATAATATATGTGGAAACTCTTTGAAGTTCTATGTACATCCTGTAAAAATATAAGGTATAATCTGTTTGGAAATAGATCAGTAGAGGAAGGCAACCCAGTAAGGAGAAAATTAGGGAACAAAAGAATGGATAGAAAGTGAGAGAAGATGGTGATATGAGAGGAGAACAGAATTGGGGGAATGAGTACCAAGAGGAATGAGAAGATGTATTCAGTCAGTTCAACGAATTTGTATGATGTATCTGCTACCTTCCAGGCACTGTTCTAGGAGCTAGGGGTATGTCAATGAATTTAAGTAGAATTTATATTTTGGGGGCATGGGAGGGGGCTGGTATGAACAACAAACATAATAAATAGGTAAATTACATAGTATGTTAGGTTAAGGTAATAAATGTTATTTTATGAAAGGCAGGATATGGGGAGATGGTCATGTAGGAGGCAATATTCTATAGGGTGGTCAGAGAAAGCCTCATTGAGATGACACTTGAGGAAAGACTTGAGGTGGGGGAGTTAGCCAAGCTGATATGTCGGGGAAGAGATAACGTGCAGGCAAAAGGCATCAGAGCACCGACCTTAACTGAATGAACATTAGCCAAGACATTCAGAGAAGTGAAGATCTCTAGGTCTGAAAGGAAATTGTCTGTAAAGTGAATTTAACTTATAAAGTGGAATAAGCCATTCTCATTCCATATCAACTTGATTCCAGACCTCTTGTTGCTTATAACCACTGAAACGAAATGGTTTTAAAGTATGATCATCCATGTGTTTTTCAAGTTATCTTCAAAACATGAATTACTTTAATAGTAATCAAAACCGTAGGAAAGCCAGGGTTATTCCAGATCTTCTTGTAAAATCAAGGTCTTTAGATAATTGAGCTGTTCTTCCTGTGAATATAATAACATTTAGAAGAAAAAACAATTTCCTGTGCTTTTAGATGTCTGATAGCTTTATGTATGATGAGTACCATTCAGATTTTAGTATTTTGTGAAAGTTGGCCTTGGGTGGTTTTCTGTGAACTATCTACAGTAAAGATTCAAGGGACAATAGGAGATACCTTGACTGCCCTGAGGAAACGAAAGAGGATTTATTTCAGACACTCAACATGAAGCAACCTAATTGAAATGCCAAACAAAACTAATCCACTCAGTCTAACAAAGAATTTATAATGATACAGAGAAATTCTTCAACATTAGCACTTCAGAAAAAGTGCAGGAAATAAAATTAGCCTTGAGGAAAGGAACAAAGCCATTAGATGAAATCCTATGACTGATGTGACAAACAGCAAGATCATTGCCTGTGGTATCCAAACAGCCATATCCTCAGGTAATGCCTGATGCTAATACCAGGTGGAAATCATTTCTGATCCATTTGAAGGTGGAAGTTGAGTTGGAACTTGTTAATGCCTAAACAGGTAGGTTTCGTATTTTGAAGATAAACAGGTTTCATTAATCTTTCAGCCATACAGTGAAAGAAAATATTTATATTAGATTTTAATTTTTCTGTTTTTTTTTTTAAATTGTACTTTTATTGTACTTCAGGTGAAGGATTACAGAACAAATAGATTCTCATGAAACAGTAGTACACATATTGTTTTATGACATTGGTTAACAACCCCACGACATGTCAACCCTCTCCCTTCTCGACCT